GGGAAGTACATGCACATCTGTCCATACAAACTTTTTGATGAAAAGAAGAAATCTATGTGGCCTAATGGCCGTTGTCTTCAGTTGTAAATGCTGTGCGCGATTTCACAGTGTCGACGAAGACAACGGCCAAAGGCCCAATGATGCATTACAGTCACGCAGAAGCGTCCGCTCGCTCTCTATTTAATGGCTATTTACACTTGTTCGTATCTGTTACAAAATAGATAAAAGTTGGTTCTTACAGACACGACGTTTTTATTTAGAGCAGTTGTTCTAAGCTAGCTAGAAACTAAGCCATAGAAAATGCCGAAAGACATGTTTTTTTCTTACTAAAAGTGGCGAATTACCGGGTCGGCTCCTCGTGACTTCGTCCATAATCGACTACGGCTAGATTGATCTTTTGCAATTGAATGCAGCTCTAAATCATTTAATCGACTTGGTCAAAAAGGGCCCGTATTTCTCGTGTAATTCGTAAGCTATGGAATATCGTTTAGAGGTTCTCGTCGATGTCATTGTCTTCGACGTACGGTGCATCGTTATTTCTCGGGAGTCCATGTGTTTGTTCAGAGCAGATCACAGGCATTTTATTACAAGCCCCAAAATAAGTTCGCGTTTGGTTTTATCGCAACTGGCATCGTCGTGTAATTCTAGCAGCGGGGTGCGGTGCCGCTAGATGGGGTTATTCACTCGACCTTTAGAGCCATGTTAAGGCTTCTACGGGTGGTCCCCAACAACTGACTCTTTTAGTAGGTCCACCTTAGCTTACTGGCGGGGCAGTTGCTTCTTGATTTATTGTTTAAAAAGACGTAAATCCGCATGGTTATCTAAAACGACTCTTGAAGAAGCTAAAATTTCGTGTCCGTCTTCCGAAATACTTTCTATGACAGTACTGTGAAAAGCTCAACGTGTAAGAGTTATATTTCTTATTGAAATGGTTTGTCCATTATTAGATGCAGTACCTTCTCATTAGCCTTCTAAGATGGCCTGCTTGAGATAGGCTACACATGAACATGATTCCTGAATAGATATGTGTAAACTTGGTATTTCGCAGCATCGAACAGACTTTGGCACTCTTGACTATTGTCATTGGTAGGCAACACGAGCTGTCGTACTTCCTTCTTCCAACTATATTTCAATGTTATTTATATATAATACACATGTAATCATATGAATGTTGCAGCTTAACGTTCGTTTCTAGCATTAAACACTATTTCAGACGGCTGGCCCCAATACAACACGGTATCTACGGCCGGTTTCGAAGCTAGACGACGTACGTCAAGGCTCTACCGGCAAGCACGTGATTACTGGACCATCACGAGGACTGAGATGTGCCTATACAAAATGCATATAGCTGTTCTGTTTGTGTCTATTTTGTACACCCTGAAATCGTGTATGTTAGACAATCGCACACACACGCACGCACGCACATACACACATTCAGAGCCATATCGGCGCTCCGCACATTCAGCGTACGGAACTGCGGCACACCTCGTGAGTACTGAATGCAGATTTTAAACAGGCTTACCCTGTCAGGACCTGTTGGTCCTGGTGGCCTCTTCGACCGTTAACAGGCAATGAAGACGCCACAAAAAACTACCGAACTTGAATAAAAGCAAGACGGGCAATAAAAAAAGCAGTGCTGAACAGCGAAGGAAGTAGGACGAATGAGAAGACACCAAACGTGGGGGCGTACCGTTTGCTGCTGCTGTTATTGGACTCCAGCATGTCACTCACGGTCTCCACTACTACTGTTGCCGTTGCTGCTATAGTGACCCGCTTCAGCGCTTCGAACGGAATCACGGAACGGAGCAGTAGTGAGACAGCGTAACGCTTATCAACCTATATTTTGTTTCATCGTTCATCGTGTTTTACTCTTTTCCCCGATGATGCTAATGTAAATACAAAATAGCATTTCTATATGCGTATATCTTACGATTTTTTTAGTTACCTGGCTGCACCCTGGTTTCTGCTATTGTTCTTACAATATTAACATACGTTTGGTTTTCATGGTAAGAGCACTAAGCTTAATTTGCGTTCAGTGGCGTCGCTGTCATCGTATGTAAGCTCGTCCCAAAACGCTAACGAAAAGCCAATACATACCGACTATATTCTTCTGTGAGAACAAACATTATAGAAACTTCGATGACATGAGCATGCACGCTCATCTATACATGGACAAAGGCAGAAGATTCGTTACTAAGCTAGGCTGAACTCTATCTATCTATCTGTTAACATTTTAGTGATGATTTATCTAAGACCAAATAAACTGATAATTAACTTATTAGCTTGACCTTACTGATAAACATCTTACGTAGACGTAATACGCCACCTTGTTTTATTTCATATACGATTATGTTCCTGCAGACAACTACTATATGCTCGTAGGAAAGCCATGTGAGGTTCGTTCTTCCGGCTCAAGTGGGGGCTGACGAAATGCCATTTGTATCAAAATAGCTTTTTACGCTAACAACGATAAACTAATTAAGGCTGCTCCCAATACTGAATCATATTATGGTATCTAGCATAATTGATACACGTCAGCTATTTTAATTGAATGTAGGTAGGAACAACCTGCAAAAAAAAGACACAGCTTACTTTGCTCTTTTTTTTTTTTAGAACTTGTGCCTTACTAGACATTTTTCTCTCAAACGGGAGCCAAAAAGTGGCCGTAAGTTGAGTGGATAACGCTTCTCCACTACCGCTTGCCAACGCCACAGCTTATCCGACTCGCGTACAAACGACAACTCTTTAAACGAGCCTATCGCCGAGCCTAATTGTAGGATAGGTCCTAAATTATATCCGGCCCACATTATGTAACTTTTACTACCTGTGTTATTCATTCAGCAAACGTACAATCAGCAAAGCGTTCTTTCACTCCCATAGAATTGAAAAGTCTTCAGAATACTTACCGTTTCGTGCATAGTGCCTTGCATTGGCATAATTAGCTATAAAAATCATAATATTCTTAGCTGATCGTATTTACTTGTTTCAATTTAATTTGACCGATTTCCTGTTGAATCAACCCAAATTTTACACTACTCGAAGAGGTCAAATTTATGAGCTTCTTTTCTGTCGACTTTAGCTCTGCCTACTTCAATTTTAAGGTCCTTTTCCTCATCATTGGTCCTTCCTCGTTTATCGTCGCCTTCTTCTTCAACTGAACTCTTCTTGATCGCATTCAGTGTTTTTTCACGCTGTTTCTACTTTGAGTTTGTTTAGATTTACTTACTCTAAGTTGGTCGACCAACAACTGTGCTGACCATACATTATTATATTAGCAAATCTTTTTTCTCTGACTTTTTTTTTTAGGCAAGGACACCTTTTATGTGCCAACTGCCACTATTATGTAGAAGCAAAAGCTCCGTACTTATACCCAAACACACAAACGGTACGGATTTAATCGACGACCACAGTTCTGCGTTCGAGCGGGTCAAGCCTTCTACAGGACTGTTTACCACAACGTGCCGTATCCGCTTATTGCATATGGTTTTAATATGAAATACTTCTGAAAATTTCAATAAGATTCAGAATGGATCGGTAGTGTGGCTCTTTATTCGTTGCTTCTTGTACATTTCCTGTCAAAGAGGTTTCCACTATACCAAAATATGCATATATATTATTACCGTATGCCGGACCACTCTGTATGCTTCCACCGGATGTAGTTTACGTCACATGCTAATCAGCTGATCATACCGATAAAGGTAGGACGCGACAGTTACTTTCTGACGCCACCACTGAGAAGGGCGTTGGCAATGATATGCTGGGCTGGATCTTTGCTAATTGTCAATTTAAGTTGTTTGTGCCTATTGCTTAACGCTGAAAAAAGGGGGCGACACTTTCAATGTTAGCTTAAATTATACAAGCGTTGGACGTTTGAACTGATGACGACTGCAGGACCCCAGTTACGGTTGCTGGTCGAAGTGGTGGCGGCTAAAAGTAGAGACTTACAGCTGGTGGTCTCCTTCTGCTATGCGCGATGCCAACGGGATAGTTTGGTGACGACGACCGATGACTTCTGAACACTTCTTACGTTCTTTTGGCGCCATCTTCGCTGCTGGCTGCCATGCGGCGTCGGATGGGCATCACTGGTTCGACCAGTTGGTCAGACAAAGCGGCTCGCCAATCGAAGTTTTTCGTCCTAGCAGCAGACGTATTGCCGCCGCGGGACGGATGACCGAACCGTGTATTTATCGCACACGGCCACAGCCTGGCTGATTGATAGACCGACTGCAGTTGGAAGCTGCCCCTTGCCTGCCTCCGTATTATCAGACTACTTGGCTTGTTTGCCTGCTTGCCTTCTAGGTCGCTCGCGTGAGTACGCTCTAGGAAGACGCACTCGTCTTTTTATTTTCTGCTCATGTCTGCGCTTTTCCTTGCTTCTAAACAAAGACGGAGTAAGTCGGCTACTAGACGAACAAATGAGCGATATCGTTGTGCCCTGAACAAGTCCAGATTGGAAGAACGAATCTAGGATCTTCTAGCTAATCATATGACGGTGCATCGTATCGATACCGCATTGTGAAATCTGATCAGTGTTTGTGCATGTAAGCCTGAATAAATCTAACTATTTCATATGCTTGGTATGTGTACATGTGCGCGTGAGTGCGTGCGTGCGTGCGTGCGTGCGTGCGTTCGTCCGTCCGTCCGTCCGTCGGACGTATGTGGTGCGATTGATGCTCGGTCGACACCGGGAACAAGAGCTTTCCGTAGCACTATAGTGTGGCATTGTCGTGTCGTGCGCGATCTACCGTGCGCTGCGGCTGTTGCCGTTGTAATGCTCCAGGCGATGGTGTTGGTGTTGCAGAAGTACCTTGTGCTTCTGCTTCGGCAAGAGCAAAAAAAGCCACTTCACTATGTGCGTGCCCTCACCCTTGGCGAACGGGAGGCCGGTGAGGGAAGAGAAGGCAACATCGAGACAGAAGAAGATTGGAGAAGACCGGCCAATGCCAGCGAGCAACGCTACGGTCATAGGGACACCGGTGCCCGTGGCTTCAATCCGAACCGGTACAACTCACGTTGTTGCGAATGAATACTGTAGCGGACTAGTCGGACACCTACGAACGGGGTTGTAGCCGTCTGCGCTGACCGCTTCGCCAGACAAATACAACGGATGGTAGCCAGTTTCAGTTGTGCTCGATAGCCTATCGAATCTGTTAACCACAACTACTACAATGAGATACTTACCTTCGTTTCTTATTTTGCTACACGTAAATTGTACCACAGCTTGTTCAGGACCGTCGTAGCTCGAAAACATGGGCGATGTAGTCCTTAGAATTTCTGCGCTTGTCAACTTCGTCTTAAGATCATCTCAACATAGGATTCAGCTGCCATGGAACCAAAGCACAAGTAAAAAGTAAACGTCCAATAGATGAAGGATTCCAATATCCTGTTGTGTTTGTTGTTGGAAGTAACATACATTCAAGTACAACTAAGTTTGTGTTTGTGAGTCGCAAGCATTTATCAACTTGAGTTCGTATAGTCATTCGGCAGTACATACTCGCCTGCTGCTAGGCAAAAGAGTAACTTTGATGCCGCTATCATTGTATTGCTACTGAAAGCGTTAGTAATATTAGTAGTAGAACTATCTGAGCGGCTGTGCAACTACGGTCGTAGGATCCTCGGAATTATACAGCCGTCAGGTCACTCGCAGGCCGATTGAATCGGATGGATTACCTTTGCCCTATCGTCGTTGCCTGTCAAGTCTGTTCAATTCTACCATACTCTCTAGTGGTTCAATCTGTATCTTGCGTTGTGCGGCCGACTATGATATAAGCTCTCGTTTCATATAGCCGTGTACTATAGTCATGCAACAGCCGATCGAGAGTAGTTGGTCATACACAATCGTAATGCCGTGCCCATCGTAGCTGAGTTGCTACCACCCTGCCACTATTACAACTGCAGTAGCTGCCATAGTGGTCAAGCGGCGGAGGTAACAATGGAAGTCGTATGGCGGTCGTTTTCGTAGTACGAGCGTGAGCTATCCGTGTCCCCACTGTCGTCGTCATTCGGTTCCCCCGAACAACTAAAAGGCCATCTGCGGTTTACGCTGATTGCTGCGATTCGTGTGCTGTGTGCCCCTAGAAGACAACAACAGCAGCAGCAGCAGCGGGAATGCTAGTCTCTCCTCAAGGCAAGTCGAGACAATCACCGAACGCCGCTTCTGTTACCGCTGCTGTTTCTGTCACTAGCGTAGTGGTCAGCTGCGGGTTAGCAACAACTGCCGCTTCTGGAAAGTGGAGTCCGCAGTAGTGGCAGTGAGGAGCTAGTGGCAACGAAGTGCGTCCATCATCAACCGCCATGCGACGCTTTCGTAGCAGCGGCGTCGAAGTAAGTGTGTGACAGTATCTAACAGGTAGATGTGTAGTGGTTCGGCAGACGGACAACAACAGCAACAGTAGGAGCACATTAGGCTACATTTACCGCATTTGTCCGTCGCTGGCCACTTGGTCGATTTGTCCGTTCAGTCGAAGTGACAGTTTGCGTCGTTGCAGCCAGAGCAACAGGTGGCGCTGTTGTTGTTGTTGTTGTTGTTCGTTTAAACATCGATGTCGCTGTCGTCGTCGTCGTCGTCGTCGTCATCATTCAATAGCATCAGCGAGACCACAGTTGATTTTCATTACAATCATCATCATTGTCATCGTCAGCACGAAAGGCAGCCGTGAGTTTTTTTTTGCCAGAGGAGGTCTTTCATTGTAACTGCAAAACACCAGACCTCATCCAGCTGCCAGAAGCAAATCTAGAAGAGGTTTGTGTGTTTCTAATCATAATGTGTATACGCCCATCCTGCAGTGATGATGATATGCGGTGAAAGATGAAGACATGAAAAGCTCGAGAATGACAACCTAGAAAAAATATAGACCACTCGCCAACTGTCAACAGTCTCTTCAGCAAGAGTCACGCAGTATTGCTGGCATGCAAACAGTGCTCATATAGATTTATGAAAAGGAGAGGGCTAGCTGATTTGTGGTATACATGTAATTTCGTGTCGTGGAGGAATACTACATGCTAAACGCTTGGGAACCCCTCGGGAATTTTGGGGAGTTCTGTGAAACATTTGAAAATTTGAAAAAATTAAAAATTCTCCTGGGACTTAAGGCAACATTAGGTGCATTGGTATGCGCCACAGAGCGCAAGCGTGTTAACTTTTCACGTACCAGATAACATAGTGAATATAGGTGACGCATTGATTGACTTTTGTTGGCAGGCCCTACGGGGGCTGCCTTTAAAAACCCGCGCGATGGGAAAATCGGGCATGAGACCCGCCCCGGGCCTCTTCACACACATCCCATGTACATCAATGGGTAAGTTAGTCAGAGTAATAATAATAATTGCATTCCCACAATGCAACAGAGAACATTTATTTATAGTGGAAGTTCACCGGACCGTGAATCCTTTCGCGTAAGATCCTTGTTCCGCAAGATACCAAATTGCCAAAAAAAAAAATACTACTGACTAAGTATATTATGCATCGCTGATCAAAGTTAATAACTTATAAGGAATATATTTTTTGTGTGTTATTGTTTTTGTTATTTTATAAGCCTCTCATAAAAGCTCTATACAAATAAAAGGCATACATTTGGAAAGTAGAGTTGAGAATTACGGAATACGTTCGATCCAACCCAACGGGAATCTCGCTTTCCGGACCGTCTGACCAGAAGTTAGGCCAAGGATCAGGCCTGCATTAGGTTACGTCTAAATGATCGGTTAAGCCGAAAGAGTGTTTGTTGCAAATTAATTTCCTGTTAATAAGCCTTTTGTCAAACAAACATTGATTTGGCTTTACACCTTTACCTTCTTTATTCGGCAACCTATAGTGTTAGTTTAATGGCAGTTGTTTCCTTCAGGCTCACAAGAAGCTGCTATTTATAGTAGCAGCCTAACCGTTGGCCCTGTGAGTTAGCTCCTACGTTCGTTAAGTAGTTAGTATCCGTTCATGCTGACATTTTTGCACGGCGATGGGCAATACTGTATTTCATTGGGAAGTTTTGTCACTGGTGCACAAGGCCATCCTTATTTCTTTGTCTAGATAACAGAAATTTGCCCTTATTTTGGACTCCAGGTATCTATTTCTTTTAAGGATATATTTTTGCGTCTCAGTCTAAAACAGATTGATGTTAATAATTACTATCTCAGCAATATAGAAAATATCCTTGCTTCGCTTTGTGCCGAACCGGATACGCCCTTAAATAAACTTATGATTTATTCATAAAAAATATAACAACTTTGACCTACTATAAGTGGACCTTTTCGGTATTTGGAGGATACAATGTTGCAAAAAAGGCCATTCTAGTATGTTCAGTGTGCGATACGATACAGGGTGTGTGTAGCATAATCCGGTATTCATTGTTTGGAAATGAATTATTTTTACTGCGACGAGGAATAAGCCTTTGCGGAACGTCTTGTGGCCAAGACGCCTTGCCTTCAACAGTCACATGTCAACTAGCCATTGACTAATTGACTGACCAATGAGAAACGGGTGAGTACATAATCTGTGCCAAAACAAGGCATAACTTATGGGTTTTTGTCTAAGGGTCCAAAGCGAGTGATGGTCGATTATGGTCTCATGTTCTTCTCTATGAGTGGGAAAGAAAAGAGCAAGATTACATAATCGAATAGGCTTCTCTATTCTTTTTTCTGTTAAAATTTAATTAAACGCCCACGAGGCTGCGAGACGAGATTCTGCTCCGTGATTTCCAAGAAAAGGACAAGATAAACGATGTCACCAGTTCTAGCTAGCAGGGCGATGTTCTCGCAGAAGTTAGAAGTTTTGCGTTTTATGTATCGCTTCGTAAAGGAGCAGCTTCGAAGTAATGACTGATATTAATGATGAAAAACACACCATATAAAAAAAATTATGCTTCCATTCAGTACTTCATTCTTGAGGCGGTTCAGTTAAAAACACCTTAGATCCCAAATACATTTGGAATATATTCTATTCTACTCTGGATGACACCTTAGAAATCAATTTGCATTAAAGCCCACTTTAATTAGACGCTAATTAACGACAGGTTGAAATTTATCTGACGTCGGCGCGTTCCCGTCAGGTATTCGTTTATGAAATTTTAAAAAGGCTAATGATATCGATTGAACGGCTCGCATAGTAAGGACTGAGCTTACGCAGGAAAACCTTTCCTTGGGCTGGTACGAGTAACGATCAAGTGGTGCGTACATCAACGTCACTCGACTGACCTATTCGAGAGCAGATAGTGTATAGCTCAAGCTTGAAGCTAGCCAAACAATGATAGGTTTCTCGTCTTATTATTTCAAACATCTTGCAATTTTTGGATTTTTTCTTCCGTCCGGTTTTACTGCTTTAGAGGGTCCGTCATTCCCTGCGCAAAACAAATCGTCTGTAAGTAATAACGAAATCAGGTCACGAAATTTCCTAAGTTCCAACACATATATGTACCTATTCATTCGGCTCGATCCATTCAATTTACAAAATTGCTGAAAATCAAAAAATAGTATATTTTCTATAACTGAAAGAGCTATATCATCTACGACAGATATATGATAGAATGCGCAAAAAGATATATATAACAGAGTATAGGCCGAATTGGATATTGCTACCCGGTGGTACTAAAATGATCCAGACCCGGTTGATTTACCAATATAAGGATGGAGGAAAAAACAGGTGAACCTCTGGAACTCGTGAATTAAATTATTTGGAGAGAACTATAACTATCGTTTGTTTAGCTGGCTAGTTGAAGTTATGATTTAGTGGACGCCAAAAAAAACGCCCACTTCTTCTCAACGCCGTGCGAAAACAAGCTGCAGGTTGTAACGTCCCGCCACCCATAAGAGGCAACGACATGTACAATTCAATTTAATCGATATAGTAGCTAGCGTACGCCCCCCGCCCCAGACGATCGGGTGAAGCCAATAGACTAAAAGATCGAATGAACTCAAAGGACAAAACTTTTCAGACAAACCCATCTCGCATACTTCGGTAGAGACGCAAAACGGTAGACGCAAAACGTAAAATTCAGTTGCTGTGCGAACAAAAAGAATAACGCACGTACATATGCCGTGCGCTTCAGCAGATGTTACGTGAAGTCTTTTAGCACTCATTTAACTTCTCGGTGAACAAATCGCGTAACTTGGAAGTAAAACTTCCTGTTGGTTTACGTTAACCGGACAATACTCGTCAGGACTTACTCTATTCTAAGTGCCTTTGCTGTTTTAGTGCGCAAGGTGCTTTGTGCTATCACGCTAGCGGCTTTGCGATAGAGTCTAGTAAGCGAAAACGGGTGCGACATACTCATAATGGCCTAGTGTTTTTCTAGGCCACTTACAGCTATACCAACATTTATGCATCCAGATGTGTCTGCCTGAATTTAGCCACAACGATTTAAATCTGATTCGACAAATTGTTACATTCAATAGCAAACAAGTTTTTTTTTTTTTTGGGACACCAGTTGAGACACTAATTCGCCTGCCTATGTGACAGTATACGCATCCGGTTTTCTACCTGGATTGACGCATCCCTTCGTTTGACAGGTAGGTCAGCCTGTAATATATATATAGGCAATGTTCTGATTAAAAACGGATAATTTATTTTTCGGAGCACGGCAGAAAAGGAAATAAATGTTGTATTTGAAGTAGTGAACTCCTATCGGCATGTATCTGAATTAATTAATATGTTTTAGCAGCAAAGTGTATCTATCATTGTTATCAGCCGAATTAACATTAAAGACACTTTTTCGAAAGGCGAAGGAATCGCTCCCCATGCTAAAAGACTATCTTTTCGCATGAGGAGCGATTTATGAGCCTGTCTGTTGGCTGATTTCTACGTGCGCGTTTGCCCTATCTGTGCCAGGCTACTCGGCACGCTCGCAGACAAATCGACAACGCTGCGCGTGCGCTTCGTGCGACTCGAGAAGGGATCTGAATTTGTTCTCTCTTAACGGTGACGCTCCTTCAATATACCTTTAGAATTAACCTCTCATTTACCGAGAGGCTTATTTGTGTCTATTAGCTGGCCTTCGTTTTGGTCCATTTACTATAACATCTTTCTTCTCCGGTTCGAAAAACGTTTTTGAGGTTCAAAGATCTTCCAGTTAGATTTGCACCTGGATGAAAATGAGGACAAAAAGGGTCATTTGCATGTTTGATCTAGCGCACTTTCAACGATGACTTCAGTTGATCGAGGCTGTTAGTAAAAAAAGCTAAATAAACTAAACGCCAATGGCGGTGGCATTACTCTTTATTAAGCGTCGTATTGTAGTTAGGTACGGCCACACGAGCCATAGAACTGTACCCTGAACGTACAGCCCCGCGAAGTTCGTCTTTCATAACCAAAAAGAGCAGTCGTGTTTGGCAAGTGGTTCGCGCAGTTTCAGGTCGTGTCTGTTACCCAATACACACCCCATATTACATACCCCATCAGTAATTGAGCGCTTCATTGTGTTTCTAGCCATATATATTTCGATAGGGAGACAGGCCTTATCGAACCTATCGTCTCTGCATGGCAATATGTTTTGTCGTAGGAGCTAATATATTTGGGCTTCATCGTTTCATGGCCTATTTTTTGTGTTCTATTGCATCTAAATCTATAAAAACATAGCGTCTTTTTGTTGGCTTTCATATTACGCGCATATAGATAGTGCTCCGGAGACGCATGAATGATGCTATCCTACATGTTATGACTAGAGGCCTGTGCTCTTAACACTATCAATTTTTCACTTTAAATTAGAAAGCGATGCCATGAATAGATTGTTCCCTGTTCAGTATAGGTGAGGAACAGATCTTCAGCCAAATTTCATACGTTTAACTATTTCCAGTTGCCGCTGCCACAAGTGGCGCAACGGTTAATCACGCTGGACCTGATCCGTAACGGCCGGCTTCGTTTATAAATATTCCATTGTCTTCAGGCCGCTGTATTAGAAAACATTATTTGCATCGGAACCGTGGCCTGCCGCCATGTCTACGAATCCATTCGGACGGACGCGTGCATGCGTTGTCAAATAACAAGTTGGTTGTTCGACGGAGTCTTCCTGTGAGGGTGAACTCAAGCCAACTGACATGCGTGACTTACAACAAAGTTGTTTTTTCTTCCGTCGTACTTTTCATATCCGAGCCGCAGTATTTTTGCGTTCGGCTTGCGGTGACCAAATAACGAAGCTAAGAGCTCAGCTACTTTTATGGGCATATAAAATATTGAAGGTTTCCATTTACTAAATGTGTGCAGACAAGCCGTGACGTCCTAAACGGCAAAACAGAAGACGTCAACCCCTCTCTTTGTGACTCGCTATGCAATTTTCCATCTTCTTCTTAAAGCAAAGCCAGGGACGGATTGACG